TAACAAACGGTACAACTTGTTAGACAAAGCCCACTTAAAGCAAACCGACCATTGCTCATCGATTACTTACACCTCCTCTCGAAGCCTGAACTTCTTGGGTGTGTGGAACTGGAGACATGTATTTAAATTTCTCAGAGATGTATTGATTTTTATTTTCATAACTGTCATAATGACAGTCTTACTGGGGAAAACAAATGAAGTATTGTGAAGAATTTGTGAATCCTGTAGAATTTCTTTTCCTCTGTGTATAATCTGGAGGAGAGAAGACTCAGAGGGGACTTGGTGGCAACCTATAAGTATATTAGGGGTGTACATCAGGGCCTGGGGAAGTATCTGTTCACCAAGGAGCCACAGGGGAGCACAAGAAATAATGGGCTCAAGCTGAATGAGGATTGCTTCAGACTCGACATAAGGAAAAACTTCTTTACAAGTTGAGTTCCGAGGGTCTGCAACAGAGGTGGTACGGTCACCCTCCCTGGCGATCTTCGAAAAATGTCTTGATGCCCACCTTGCTGGGGTCATATGATCCTAGCCGCCTTTCCTGCCCAAGTGCAGGGGGGCTGGACCCGATGATCTTGTAAGGCCCCTTCCAGCCCCTAACGTCTATGAATCTATGAATAGGTGCTGACAATGTAAAATTAATTGAATTTAATTTGAAAATGAATAACAAAGGTTATTGTGCATAGTACATTACTCCTTTACATATTTGGATCAGTAAAAACCTATCCATGTTTAAAGTTTAAATCAACCTGCTGCAGAATTTCCTGTGTGTTACATGTATGTGTGTGTTGGCAATGTGCAGGGGGTGCACACGGGGGCACATGCACCCCCTGAGATTGGCTGTCACCAATGCTGCCAGCGGTGCCTGTGGGCATTCGCCGTTTGCCATCCTCCCCCTCATCACCTACACAGCATCTGCAGGCAGTCACCAATGTCTGGCTGGTGCTTGCCACTGCCCCCCCCTCCACCACCACCACTGCCACGGCTGCCTGCGGAAGCTCCCCACTCAGCCCGCTGCCACCTGCGGGCAGTTGCCGTGCCCCGCCAGCCTCAGGAGGCACGCAACGTTCATGTATGTCATAAAAAGCTGAGGGCCTTCTGCAATATTCAGTGTTGGGGGAGGAGAGAACAGACCAGACTTATCCCCATGACACCTCTACATGTGAAATTTAAAACTGAACAAAAATTGCAGTGCCTTTTAATATGAAATACTGTGGCTCTATGAAACTAATAAGGAAGCAAGGAGAGAGCAATAACCTCAAAAAGAATTCTTTGTGGATACTGCTACTCAGAGTTTAGCAATGGCTTGAACAGACTTGCATCAAGGATGGTTTATTATTCTACTGTATTTTAATAAAATCATTTAGTCAAACACTGTACTCTGCCTTCTTGAAAGTAATGCACCACTTGGGTGGTTGCACCCCAGAATAGCAAAATCAGTGGGACTAGTCTTAATGATTGAAATTCAAACTAATGGTTTTTATCTTGTTCTGCAAACACTTGAAAACCACATTATACCAGTGCACAGTGCACTTGTGGCTAGCTTTAACAGAAAATAATGTTATATGAAGCAAAAATACAAAATAAGAACTGGAATTGGGTACCTCAAGATCATGAGTTATGAAGGAGTACTGTACTAAGGTACTATTTGAGAAAACACAGGAAGCCACAAGGCATTCTTTTGTGATAAAGGACACAAAACCTTTTCTGTCTCATGCCTGTATAAAATAAACTATTCATGCCTTTTATGGGACAGCAAGTGGCTCAATTTCAGAATTCCATCATATATAAGAACTATTTATTTAGGATCCTGGAGGTATAGAAGGTCTGTGAACTAAACAGACTGCTTCTGGCCCATTAAATTAATGTTACTTTACTAAAAAAAACTCAATACCTGCCAATCAAAGTTGCAAAAATGACTCCAATCCTACACATAGCCCAGTTGTGGACAGCCAGTGACCAACTGAGTTAGTCTAATGGAAACAATAGTTCTTTCTTAATAGAGGTACAATTTGTTAAATTCATCAGTGCTCTGTGACAAGGAACACGACTGAAACTTGGGAATCATCAAGCTATTCCCTGTAGATATTTTGCTGCCAGGTGCAAAGATTGACAGTAAATGCAGATGATGGTTTTCCTGGTTATTGTTAGAGAGTAGCACTTACTATCAATAAAATAACTGAATGGTGACCTGGAGACTTATCAGCAGGGCATTGCTCCAGCTGCACAGGAGACTCTCGTGGTGAAACAGATTCAGATTCTCCAGCCTCAGACTGCAGAATGTACTGAATAAAGGTGTCCATGAAATTTAGCAATACAAAGAGAATAGCTTTTAACCAGATAGTTTGTACAAGAATTATTAGGTAACTGGTTTGAAATGGGGGTTATGGTCTGAAGGGACAGTTCTGCTGTTGACCTCAGTGGAGTTTATAGAAGGACTGAAATGACTTGAATTCAAGCTAACTGCCGTAGATATGTGTATTCTTCTTTTACCTGACACTGAAAGTTCAAGATTTCTTTATTCTTGACATTTGGTAACCTTACATGACTCATGCAAGATGTATGGATATTATTAACTGACACTGTGAGCTCAGTTGTGTATTATTTATTTCATCTTATACAGCCACATATGATGGCTGAAAAATATTAATTCATTGCCCTTAAACATTTTGGGAAGAGGGATAACATTTTTACGTCAGTCTACAAATGGCCATTAATGAGCTGTAAGATCATTGGAGCAGAAACTGGTTTATTAACAGATTGATTCAGAGCCCATTGATATCAGTGGAAGCACTCTTTTTGACTTGAAGTGGTTTTGATCAGGCCAAGTATGCTTTCATGGTTCAGTCCCATTTTGCCTTCAGCCCTCCCCTCCACTCTACTGGTATTGCTGGTATTTCATGCACATTAATCAAAATTCCCTATGAGTGGTGTCATGTTTTTTTGCATGGCTGCTCTCCCCACTCTGCATCAGGTGCTGCTTATAAAAATCCACAAAGCAACTACATTTTTCTGCAGAACTTGCTGTAAAACTCACCTGTGGGGTATCTAGAAAATGCGGTATTGTGCTGATATAGTAACACGGCTGGTATTGTGCTGATACTGTGTTATACAATCAAACCACCTCACTGTCACCTCATGCTCTCTCTGCCTGTTTGTTGTATCTAGCTATTCTCTCAGTTTAGACAACAGGATCCTTTGGGACTGGGACTCGTTCTCTTGTATTCATAGAGTTTTTAGCACAATGGAGCTCTGATCCCTGATTATCAAACACATTACCGCAATACAAATTCATAATCATTGGTAAAATAAATGCCAGTACTGGCCATTAAACTGCAAGGTATTGATTAAAAAAAAAACCTGTCTTGATAAAGAGGGCAGTTCACACCAGAGCACTATTGGTTCAGACATTATATAGACATGCAGGTCACATCTTTAAAGTTTTCTTTCAAACATGAGATTTTTTTTTAAATTCAAAAACTTAGTTTCTGAGTTAGAGTTCTGTAAGAAGAAAGGAGTGCATTATGTATCAAATTCTGTGACTACAGAATGCACAGAGCTCTGCTTATTAATTTCTTTTTAATGCCTATTTCCTCCTCTGCTAATGGGTGGAAGCTAGAGTAGTAATTAGTTTGTCAGGGAGGCAGTTTCTAAGAATGACTGATAAATTGTTGTGTTTACAGAGCCTGCTGATTTAGACTGCGTCCCGGGACTGAACCACAGTTAGCAGCACGGACACTGGGACAACTCACATACATCAATTTAAGCACCTGCACAATGTGCAGGATTGGGATCTAAATTTGGCCACTGGAAAGCGCAAACAATTCTTGTTCAACTCCATGCATGTAATTATTACAGCTTAAAAACACAGAAGTTCAGATGAATCATTCTGCCGAAAACATTTGATTTCCATTTGGGTTTTTTATGCTACCTTAGGGATCAACTCAACTTCCACTGAAGTCAGTGAGAGACTTTTCCTTGACTTTAATGGTAAATTCATTGAACCAGCAAAGCATGTAGAGAATGTTATGGTGACAAAGGAAACAGCAATTTTGGACTTTCTCTTCCACTTTAGGATTTATAAAATGGACTTAAGTTCACCTGATACTTAAACCCCTACTGTAACTTGGGCCTAATTTCTCTTATGTGCAGCAAGAAAATAGGTACTCAGATACCACAGTGAGCATAGTATAAATACCCAAATAGGTTAATAAAGATACAGTTGTTACTTGGGCTCTTGTAAGTTGGTTGTTGCTGAGAGTCTTAAGCAGATCTTTGTCATAGTGATGAAATTTGCCTCTAGGTTTCTCTCTCTTGTAATATAGACTAAATGGAAATACAGCTTAATAGCTGGATAATTGGTTTAGTTGCTCATTATAGTATATTACAATGCCTGTTCACTGCTCTTCAACATTATTTCATAGTACAGTTTACTGTAAACTTTACTGTTGTAGATGTGAATGACGTATTTAAAAAAAAGAAAAAATCACGTTAGAGTAACTAGACTGGTTTTTCAAGGAAGATTTTTTTTTAATTTTTGTTTAGCAGAGACTAATCAGGTGAACCAATTTGGGGCTAAATCCTCTGCTGGCATAACACTATATTTAAAATAACCAAAAAGGAGAGAAATAGGAATATTATATACTTTATCTTTTAAAATAATACAGAAATTCAAAGTACAGGTTCAACATTTACAAGAAGTAGTTGCTAAGAAATAAAGCTGAATACCATGCAAGCATGCAGAGTAACGTGCACAAGAGTGCGTCTCCTGTGGATTTTTCCTTTGGACAGTCGATAATAAAAATCAGTAACAGGCACAGATTTAAACAATCCAGTCTCCCTTTCTAAAGATGGATCACTTACGGGCTGTATATAATCTTCTGATGGTAAAAGCTATCCATCCCCACTCACTTGATGTTTATATGAATTATAAGCAAATTATTATGCTGGGCTGTTGAAAAATGAGAGCGAGCTATAATGTGAACTTGTCAGAAACTCACCTGGTAAGCACTCCCCTGTCGTTTGAAGCTGTGTTTCTTGATAGCCTGCAGAAGCATTTTGCTCATCAAATCGGAACGTTTTCAGAGTAAATTCAGGAAACCCTCGGCTATCTCATTTCTCTATTAAAGGTAAACAATAGCAGAGCTTAGAAAGAGAACGCTGACTCCACTGCACTGCTGCTCTTAGTGGCACTGAACTCTGTATTTACATGTGACTTCCCCCTGCACATCCATATACACATAATCCTTTAAGCTTTAGCTGCATGCTCTGATTGGCTGAGAGCTCTGTTACAAAAACAAGCCCTTCACAGTGATATTTCTAAGTGATTAAGTCAGGAGAGTTAAGGGGCATTAATCATGTGGCCTCAGTGATCACTGCCCTAAGGCCTAGTCTGTTTAACCATGTTCAGAATCATGAAAGCTTTTTTTTTCTTTTCTTTTTTAAAGGATTAAAAAGGAATAACTGTGGTTTGAAACCCATTAAAGCTTTAACACGGTCATATAACATAAAGTAAGTGCAGGTTATATCTACACTTGGAATGCTTTACTGATAAAGGAATGCTGTTGTACTAGACTGGACAGTGCTACTGGTAAAGATGCAGCTATACTGGCATTCTACCAGTATGATAAAGCCCTTCTCATCAAGGAAACAAGCCATACTGGTAAAAGCATGGTTTTGCTGGTAAAACTATATCCCCATTAGGACCTCCTGCTGGCAGAGCAGCTGATGAGGTGAGTTTCATCTCATGAAAGCTTGTGCACACTTGCTCGTGTGCACGCGTGTGTGTTGTCTCTTCCTCTGTGTGTGTATCTATAGATAGATAGATCTGTCTCTCTCTCCATCTATCAGAGCATCTGATGGGGTGAGTTTCCACGAAAGCTTGTGCTTGCTTGTTCATGTATGTACACGTGTGTTCTCTCTTCCTCTGTGTGTGTGTGCATATGTATGTATGTATGTGTGTGTATTTGTTAGTCTGTAAATGTGCATATCTACCCTGCCTTCTGACAGATATGTTGGCCAGGGATCAAACCTCTTCACACTCTTGTTCAACATAGCTATGCCCGAAGTTTGCAGGGTAGCCCTAGCTTCAGTGGAACTAAGATTAGGGCTAAAGCTAGAACTCTATACGATATTTCAAGACCATTTTAAACATTCAAAAGGATATGAAATGATTATTATAAAAAGATAACAGTTTGGGAGACTATGCTCTTTGTTCAGCATTATATAAATAATTTATTTTAAGTTAATGAGATTTTAGGGTTGTAAATTAGTTGCATTTGAATAGCAAGCACACAATACCTTGATTCTACTTAGATCAACTAAATTAATTTGCCTTTACTTGAAACTGTAACGAGGAATTATATATGTTCTCTTTCCTCCCTCAAGTAGTAACCAATAATGTGCAGCACAAGCTTTTATTAATAGAAGAATGGATTGATCTTGGTTTCATTAAAGGCCATGAAAAAAATTGTCATTGATGTGAGTGAGCAAAATTGAGTATCAATTTTTTAATTAATTTTTTTAGTTTCTGATTTTTTATTTTACTTTGCTTTTTATTGTTAAACTACGGTGTAAGCTAAAATGTTCACAATATGAAAAAAACATTTACATAGGCCTAGAGTTAAGAACTGAGAAGCAGGACTGCATATTGTTTACTAATATTTACAGTTAAGCAACAGTAGCCTAATTGAATCATTTCATTGTGGAGATTTACAAAAGGTGAAAGAATGAACCTGTCATTTTTTATTTATAATCAATATAATAGAATAGCATCTCTGTCAGCTCTGCTATAGGTATGCCTGTCAGCATTTCTATTATGCTCTATTGGTAAGGGTTTGTCAAGTGGCTAGATAAAATACAGATTTTATTTTTGGGGTTGTTTTTTTTAAGTAATGTAAGAATAAGAAATGTGGGCAGCTCTGGATAATGCTTTTTCTATTCTTCAGAATGACGTTATTTTTTAGTTACGTTTTTGTTAGTTAGGATTTTATGTGCTTATATTTTGAAATGCAAATAATCTGAACCATTGTGTTTTGCATGCAAGAAAATACCACGTGTTAGCTAGGTTGTATTAAATTTAATATGAAGTATGCTTTTCTGTTGAAATTCAGATTTCACATACACAGGCTTTGTGTAGATGACAAATTCAGGGATTGAAACTGGAATGATTCTCCTACTTCCCAGTATTAAACAAGCTACAATGAAGTTTCCATGCATCTACATTTTTTTTATTTGAACACAGGTCCTAGTGTGCCTTAGAGGAACATACCCAACCAGTGTATCAAGTATGACTCCAGTGTCTCAGTAGTTCTCATGTTGGCCCATTTCCTTGCTTGCATATTAAAGATAAGACTTCCCTAAATAGTAAATCCAGGTATTTGATATTAAGGTCTGAGGAGCATCTCACTGAATCTAGCTTGGGTGCAAGGGTTCCCACAGTGGTGTCCAATCTGTGTCCTCACTAGTTTGGGACTTGCCTACGTATGTCTGGGAGTATGTGTTTCACAGTTCTTCATGCTGAAGAATATACAGCTTGGACTCAGTAACATGCAGACTAAAATGGAACAGTTTTAATGGTGCAATCTAGTCTCTGTTCATGGTACTAAAAAGTTAATGTGCAGTGATAATAGAGATAACTTGGCTAGTAGGTAAGTTTTGTTTAATTAGATCAAAAACATGCATGCTTAATACTTTGAAATGGTTCATATAAAATTGAAATCACTGAATATTTCAAATGAAGGAGGGTAGATTTGTACCTTATAGACCAGGGGTGGGAAATTATTTGGTTCCAGGGGCCACACGGGGAGTTTTGATGAGTTGGGGCAGGCTGCGTCATCCTCCTCCTCCTCCACCCTCCCACCGCTGCAACAACTCACCAAAACTCCCTCTGTGGGATGGTGTCATGGGTGGGCAGGGAGCAGTGTTCAGAAGCGGGGCAGGCAGGTGAGGCCAGGATTAAGGTGGTTAAGGTCACAGCACAGTGATGGCATGGGGCCAGGGCCTGGGGCAGAGCTATGGTCTGCTCTCTGCACACGTGTGTGTGTGGGGGGGGGGCTGCCTAGGTGGTAGGTCCCATAAGCCAGCAGGGGGTGAGGAGTCAGGGGGCCGTGAGCAGCAGAGCTCACCCAGGTAGTGTAGTACACGGCTGTCCCCGTGGCACTTTGCATGAGGCTTAGCCCAACTCAGAGCAGCCCATGCCACGCTCTAGCCTGTACCTGCAGCCCAGCCCCGGCCAGTGTGCACAGCTTACTGATGCAGCTGCAACCGGCCGGGTGCTGGTTGGGTCCCCTCGCCTCCAGTGGCGGCTCCTGCTGCGCCCGTCCAGGGGGAAGAACCTTCAGCCAAACGGCTTCTGCCCCAGCGCACAGGGCTGCGGCTCCAGCTGCTTTCCACGTGCTCTGCCCACCTGGTGCGGCTGACCAAGTGGGTGGAAGGCAGTAAGAAGCTAATGCCAGAACCCCACGCACTGGGGCAGGAGCCACCCAGCTGAAGCTTCCTCCTGGCCTCGAGCGGTGCAGCAGGGGCAGGAGTAGGAGGAGGAGCTGCCGCTAGAGGCACCTGGAGCCGAGCAGCACCCAGGCAACTGCAGCCGTATTGGGAACAGCCCTACTACAAGCTGTGTTCACTGGCGTGGACTAGAGCACAGCACAGGCTGCCCCAGGTGGGGCTCAGCCCCACGCAGAGCGCTGCAGGGGCAGCCGCAGGCCAGATCCAATCAATTGGCAGGCTGGATCCGGCCCTTGGCCCATATTTTGCCCACCCCTGTTGTAGACTAAATTATAGATCTCTGAAGTACTATGTATTTATTGAAGTGTATCAGTTGAAATATTACATTTTCATAACCCTATGTGACATGCATAAATTTAGTGGATGTAGAGAGTGCCCTTTCCCATGCGTGCATAACTTCCACCAATGTCAGTATGAGTTATTGATATATATGGAAAGGGTAATACTTCTCAATGGATGTCATGCTTTTTACTACAAAATGAAATACTGCTCCTTCCAACAGGGCCACAAATGTAGCACCTTACCAGTTCCTGCTTACTAAGGAATTTTGGCGTGTGGATATAGTTTGTTTCAACTCAAAGCAACTCCATTTGTATAAAGTGAGCGCCCCATACAGACAAAGCCTTATTTAATATTTATTAAATATTTCCAAAGACTTTCAGCATCATTGTTCAAACTGATGATGGGAAACAAATACAATAGCATTGTTTGAATTAAAAATGGATCCACTTGTGTTTGGTTCATCTCTGTGTACGTATTCAGATAAGATACTGCTGGCAAGATAGGCAGGGGAGCACCACATTTAGCCCTGAAGTGTATAAATCCTGCCTGAGTCTTGCCATCATCAAGACCTAGGTGGTTGTGTTCCCATCTGCTGATGACTATATGAGCATCTAAGGGGCTTTACAGTTAGAAACTTATGTGCTTAGGTCAGGGGTGGGCAAAATCCAGCCCGCGGGCTGAACCCAGCCCGTGGGGCCCCTAAAAAAATTTGGAAAATTAATATTTCTTTGCCCCTGGTTCCTGTCAAAAATGACAGGAACCAAAGGCAGTAGGACCTAGGGGAAGCCCAGTGGGCTCAAACAGCAGCGGGCCTGCCCAGCCCTGCCCCACAGCCAGCAGCCCCTTCCAGGGTTTTTGGGCTGGGAGTACATGGCTGCCCCAGCACAGGAAGCTCAGGTAAGTGGGGAGGGGACCCCGGGGAGGGAAGGAGTGCCGGGGGGGGGGCAGCCCCTCCCCACCCACGCCCGGTGCCCCGTGCTGCAGCTGTTTGCAGCCCGCGTGGAGCTGCCTGTGCCCGCTCCAGACAGCCCCGTGTGGGCTGCGAGCACCTGCAGCGCGGGGCACTGGGTGTGGGGCGGGGGAGGGGCCGCTTCCCCCCTGCGCTCAGCTTTTCCCTGGGCTCCTTCCCTGCACAGAGAAAAGTGGTTCCTTGCCCTCCCCATGCCCGGTGCCACACACTGCAGGAGCTCGCAGCCCGTGCAGGGCTGTGGAGTAGGCACAGGCAGCCCCAGGCAGGCTGCAAGTGGCTGCAGCATGGGGTGCTGGGCATGGGGCGGGGTGGGGCTGCTTTCTCCCCCACCCCCGTATTCAGCACCAGTCTGGCAGTGGG